ATCATCATCAGGGTTCAAAGTATACGTTAAGAGGCAAAATATTTGTGGAAAAAGAAGGGGAAATATGGTTTATAATTATGATTTTTTTATAACTAGTTTTAAAAAGTGAACTGGGTTCCTGGGAGATGGGCTTGCTGGACTGAGCGAATAAAAATACACAGTACCATGCAATACTCAGGACACACGGATATAAGAAATTATTCACTGTTTACTGGAAATTCAAATCGAACTTGGCATCCTGGATGTTACCTGACAACACTAGAGTAAAGACCTTTATGAAACAGACAAACAAAAACACTAATAAATTACAGAGCTACACTTCTCAGAGCTAAAATCTGGGACGCTCTGTGTGCCACATGTTTTTGGGAGGCCAAGGAAAGGGAAGTGTAGTCGGTCTCCAGCTGTTCTTAGCTGGGCTTCCTTCTCTTTTTCCTGGTAGCAGACCCAGCCCTTGATGCCAGAGACTTAGCTTTCGCCAACTAGGCCATTTAATAAATTCATGGTCTCACAATTCCTGACCCCCTCTCCTTTATATGAATGTTGTGAAGATTAAACATAATTGAGGTTGAGAGGGAATATCATCCATAGAGCTTCACATACTTATTTTTGGTGGAGTGCTTTGGAAATATATTATCAGAAACCTGGGCAAGACAGACTACCTGCCCCCACCCTCACACTCCCCCCCCCCACGCCCTCCCACCAAGAACAGGCTTGAAAAGTATTGCCAATATGTGGTGAGCCCAGCTGACATCAGTCCCTAAATGGAAGAAAGAACAAAAACAAGAAATATGTTCAAAATTTGAAGTGAACTACAGAAAATGTAGTGAACTGCCAAAAGGGGTACCCAGCAGAGAAAGGGGGTAATCACAGATGGAGAAGTCTATACTTTTCAAATGGCTATGGATACATACTGAAAGCACAGCTCCTTGATTCATAAACACTAGTGAATCACCAACACACTGAGATAGCCTAATGTAAAAGAAAGGGAAGACCCTACCTGTGCATTCTGATTTAGTTTTCTGCTATCTTCCCCTCAACTGCCAGTCTCTGTGGCCTGAGCATGTTTACCTTTTTCCCAAACGTTTACCTTACCTTCTTGTCAAAACGACAAACTGGGAGCAGCCCAGACTGTTCATTTAAATATTTCTATGCAAAACTTTAATCTTCAAACTTAACAAAACCCCAATCTACCACACATCGATGGCTGTGAGCAGAAAGTGCTTGAAGAGGATTAATCAACAGCTCTGTATGTCATCCTGCAACAAGGCCAAACACTGAATCACTGCTGGATTCTTCACGTGCAGCTACACCCAGTTAATCTTGAAGAAAGCAGCAAACTATGTAAATCTACTTAAACTGGGGAGGATAAGTACTTCACTTGTCAAAAGTTAGCAACATTTAACAAGTACGGCTATTAGCTGGCCCTGTCATTTGTAAAGAGAGAGAAAGACATACACACACACACACACACACTCTCACTCACACACACACGAAAATTCTTGCACCTACTCCTCTACCTCAAAAGCCCCATGGCAAACCAGGACGGCATACAGCAAGAAAGGAATTGCTACATGCCACAATTTGTAAAAACTAATTTCTATGACATAACTGAGTCAACTACTCCAAGAAAGTCGTTCTAAAACTGACGTCAGAAAATGTGGAGAAGTGGCTTGTAAAAGAAGTCAAAGCAAAATGGAAATATGTTTTCTGTATTTAAAGCCTTTAACATAAAGCTATTTTTTTTCTTTTGAAACACAATAAAGTATGTTCGTAACTACAGAAGTCCTGATAAGTGGCTTTTGTTTAGGTTGCGGGGCATTTTCCTACAAGCAGATTGGATATGCTTAAGGAATATCATGTGTCTGAAAGGCTCAGTCAACAATCCTAGGATGTATACACACTTCTCTACCAAGGCTTGAACAAGCCATCTTTGTCTAGATACTGCCTACTCGGTTATCAGTTCACTCACAAGTGTCTCACTTTGACCTGAGCCAAGCAGGTGTATTTCTAATGTGCTCAGAGGCCTGTGATGCAGGAAAATCCTGTTTATCCGAGATGATGCCAGAGATCAGTGCTCTTTGATGCCCTCCATATACTACACGGGGCAGGAGGGGGACAAGCACCACCTATCTCTGCTTGAACTGAAACTAGCTGACTCCAATACATGTCAAATATAAAGTTTTTTAAAAAGAGGTTCTATAGTCATTCACTGAAGCAATACTTGGGCTTTCAAACAAGTATCATGAACCCATCATGCGTATCATCCATTTACTTTACCCTTCACTTTCAACCTCACAACCTCCACCCTCCCCTAAAAAATAAAAAAAAAATAAAAAAAAAAAAAAAGAAGCAGCTAGGAGGAATCCCTAAACTGGACTTTTGACATGAAAAAGGCAATGGGCAGTGATGCGGATGAGCTCTGTACGAGTTTCTATTGAGATGTGCACGTAAGCAGGCAATTGCAATGTGATGGTTTTAAGAGCTTGACTGCCAGGGTCCAAATCCCGGCTCTGCCCTTTGGGTTGTACAGACTGGACAGTTACTTAATCTATGCCTCAGTTTCCTCTGCTGTAAAGCAGATAGTCCTGTTTCATAGAACTGTCAAGATGACCAAAATTAGTTAATCCACCTAAAGCACTTAGAACATCAACCAGCAGGCAGCAAGGTGCTCAGTGATGGTAGGCTACTGCTAACACACACATATAAAACCCCAAAAAACTATCATTTCCCCATCTTTTTCCAAAGGTGATTTTTAGGTATTCCTCACATTCCATTTTTTCCTCAGGCAAATTATCTGAAATCAGCTCCAAAGAGCTGCTTATATATTTGCAGATTAAAATCAAACCACATTGTACACCTAAAATTCACCTATTCTTTCATCAAAATGAACAATGCAAACCCAAAGGTGCAAGCTTAACATCACAAAATCTTATAAAAAGCATTAATGAGACTTCCCGTTTAGACTAAGCCAGGATGAGATCACAAAGTCACTCATGGTAACCAGGTCCCCACGCTGGAAGTGTGCTTTCCCAGTGAATGGCTAAATACTAACAAAAGAAGCCTTTGACTCAAATACCACGGTACCCGGGGTCTTGTGTCTGTATAATGCCTACACATTCATTTCTTTCTTTGCCTATAGAAAAAAGAAAGTCTGTTTGTTTTTCTGATTCAGTCAGCCCTTTTAGTCTCTGAATCTAAGGAGAGCCCAGTGAAAAGAAGAGCATCTTATCAGCGTGCTCCAGACCAGCAGGCTGTCCCCCTCCACACACAAAACCTCCAGCCCCTCACAGCAAAAGGGCCTCGCCCTCAGAGCCTTTTCCCCATTTCAGAGCTAACACCCCGCAGGGTTTTGACAACAAATAAACGAGTACACAAGGCCTTTAACATAATTAGCCATCTTTTCAGGTACAGAGGGGTGGGTGGAGGAGGAGGGTTCAGGAGAAGAATATTTATTGAAAACTGGCCTCACTGATGAAGTTGATGGAAGTGTGCTGGGTCCGAGCGCTTTATTTTAAATGAGGCTACGTTTAGTGAGTTTACAGATGCCTGGTTTTCAATCTAGACAATTTTAGCATATACTTCAGACAAGTCAGAAATGCAGATTTTTTCTTCATGGAAAAAAGAAAAGAAAAAAAGCTCTTTTTATGCCAGGTAAAAGTTGCATTGACTTGGACAGCAAAGGCACACAGACCAGGGTGTTTACTGCCTTTCCGAGGGAAAGCTAACAAGTAAAAGAACCAAAGACCAGAAAACAATACTTTTTGACACCGTCACTGTTAGACCAAATTAGCCCTACTCTCAGATATATGTATGCTAAGACAGAACCCCCACCAAATGACTTTGAGAACAAAAAGGACTACCTATGATCAATAATCCTATGAATGTCTTTAGGAAAGCCACCAGGCATCCCTGTCATCTGTCATGATCTGAACAGCTACGGTCTGCATGGAAGGATGGAGTTCGCTTGTATCATCATTGGGATAGTAACTTAATTGATTTGTCTCCGTGGCTAAGGATGTAGACAAGAGATTTATTATGGAAGAAAAATATCTGCAATCGTGTTTTTGTTTTCTCAACAAGCATCTTGCCGCTGACCTCTAAATCAGTTTAACCTTTTCTAAACAGACCTGCACATTTTTTACATAATTTAAAGCTAGGTTTTGTTGTTGCTGCTGCTTAAAGGCTCTGTGAAATTTATCACAACATGGCTTCAGTAACCTTCTTTTAAAAACAAAGATGAAAAACAAAACAAAAGGCCGAAACTATAAGCTCCCAGCTCCACTCCTTTTCCCGGCAGGGGATTTCGATCTAACCACTAAAGTGCCTTTGGAGTTCAATCTGTTAAAAAATGTATGAAACGGTATTAAAATAGGAAAAGGCATGTGTATGACTCAGGCTTATCCAAGTATCTCTGCAACTAGGGTGTCACAGGATTTCCCTGTGCTTCTGAAAACTGAAAACCCTGAGAAAGTGACAGAAGTTCCTGTTTCGTCTCTCTTTCTTAAATATATATATATGTATATATATATATGGGGGGGGCGCGCGCGAACAGACACACACAGAAACACACACACAAATTGGTCTTCCGGGTTTGCTATGAATCAGGCAGGTTCTTTCAGGTTCTGAGTGAAGATTGTTGCAAACCGATGTTACGACGTATTATCGTACTCTCTACACACAAAGGTTTCGGGGCGGGGGGAGAAAAAAAACAAACTTGTTGCAGAGCTGGGAGAAGCCCCTGGCCCCGCGCGCTGCGCTCTCGCCGCCTCTCCGCCCCTTCCCCTTCCTCCACATCCCACCCGGCGCGGCCGGCGGAGACGAGGGCATCTCCCCTGCTAAGGTCACCGGCCCGAGCCGTCCCCGAGAGCCGCCTCCTTCGGAAACAAGGTCACCGCCCAGTCCGGTCCCTCCGAGGAGGAGAGCGGTGCCCGGCCGAGCGCTGGCGCCCTTTGTAAAGCTGGGCGGCCGGCTTCGGCGCGGCATCCCGGCCGCCGCCTCACCTGCTTGCGATAGGGCGTCCTGCAGTTGCTGCTGCCCCCGGGGTTGCCGCTGCTGCTGGGGAAGATCATCGCGGCGGGCGCAGGCGGCGGGCGCGGGTGCAGGGCAGCCTCGCCGCGAGGGGGAGGGCGCAGGAGGGGCCGGCCCTGGCCGCGGCGCTCTGGGAACTCCCTCTCGCCGCGAGGCGGCAGCCGGCGGGGGCTGCAGCTCGGGCTGACTTCTCCTCCGCCCTCGACCTCCGGACTCGCCTAAAAGTGCGGCGCGACGGCGGCGGCGGCGGCGGGCGAGACTCGGACAGCTCGGGCGGCCGCCGCCCTGCGTGCCATGGACGAGAGTTCGCGCGCGGAGCTGGCGCCGCCGCGGACTCTCCCGGCGGCAGCGGAGGAGCAGCGCCGCTGCGTCCCCACCTACCGCGGCCTCAACCACCGCCCCGAGAGCGCGCCGGCCGGGGGCGGGGAGGCGGCAGCGCACCGCCTCGCGCCGCGCCCAGGCCCACCCGCGCCTCCCCGCCCGCCCTCTGGGCGTCGCGCCCGCAGCCCAGCCAGCCGATCGGCCCCCGCTCGCTCCCTCCCGGGCTTGGGGCCGGGGCCGGGGCTGCGCCGCGGAGGGAGCCGCCGGCGCCCCCGCTCCGTGCAATGGTTGGGTCTGGCTCCCCGCGTGCCGCACATTCCTTGGAGTAGCCACCCCCCTCCTCTTTTCTTTTTTCCACCTCGGCTCTTTGCCTAAGCACCAGCCGGAGCTTTGCACCCCTGCTCGAAGCCCCCTTTAAGGGTATGGCTTCGGGGAGCACCCAGACACCTGGCTAGCAACTGAACCAGTCCCGGGTCTTCTTTCTTTTCTTTCATCCTGGCTAACTCCCCACCACCCCCGACCCCAGTCTCCCCCAAAAGGTGCCAGCAACCACTTCTACTTCAACCAACAAACCAGCCTTCCGTCAAACCTCTGCAACTCGGCGTTCCCCCAAATCACAACGCTAAAATTTTAGCATTGGAAAACAGGTGTACACTACCCACCCTCTCACAGCAAGTACGGATGGTAAAGTTCTGTACTTCACTCCCATGCCAGAGTTTACCAGTTTACCTTCAAATTAACAATATCAAATAGCGAAAATCACTTACGGCCATTGGGTTGGTAAGACTTCCTTTAAACCGAATAGCGGAATCCTGCTATACGTTAAACTACAGATGCCACCGAATGTGTTCTATTGAAGGGACACAGAAACTGCAAAAAGGAGACAAAGGGAGGAGGTTGTTTCCTTTGTTTCCCAGTTGAAATTATCCAAGGCGGCTCAAGATGCCCCCTTTCTTGATCACTTTCAAGTCGGGTGTATGAAGCCTCGAACATGTGCATTGCGGAAGGCCTCTACAGCAAGTCCTACAGGCAGACCCCACAGGGTCTGGTAGGCTTGCCATCTTTCACGTTGGCCTGTTCAGCAGTATTACAGGGTAGTATCACAGCGGTATTACAAAGTTCCTCCCCTGGCCTCTGGCCTCTAACACCTTGGAAAGAGCCATCTGCCATGATAATGAAAAATCCTAACTCCTCTAAGAAGTGAAGACACTTAACGTCTGGCTGCCATAAGGAAAACAAAAAGTGTCCCCTAGAGTCTTTTAGTCTTTAGCTGGGGCTATTTGATCTCAGGGTTCTGAGTTTGAGCCCCATGTTGTGTGTAGAGATTACAAAACAAATAAAAAAATAAACTTAAAAAAAAAAAAAAGGTGTGGCTATTCAAAGGTTTTTCCAGCAGCAAGGAACTGAAACATCTTAGATAACCTGCTGGTGACTTCGCCACCATATTCCACCTCCATATTCCAAGATGCACCTAACATTCTCCAGCAAAAATGATGAGAACTAGCAAGTCTCGCCTAATTAAAAACAACTATATACACAAAACATGCATATATGTAATTCCTAATTCTTTCCATTAAAAATAAAAAGCACCAACAAATGAAATTATTCTAGGCACAGTACTAGGTACACCATGGTCAAGTAAAAACTTGCTAGATAAAATTCACAGAAACATATCTGTCCTTTAAAGTGATTTAAATAAACACAGCACAACTAACATTCAGTTGCATGTTAATATTATATATATGCCAGAACTATTTCCTATAACTCAATGGGTTTACGATTGTTTCAGCTGCTGCTTTGCTGCCTCGCATCATAGGATGCTTTACTGCAAGTTATCAACCACGGGTATAAACCATAAAGTGTTAGGTAGAACTGTTCAAGTTATAGGTACCTTTTCCTGAGAACTTAATGCCCAGGACCCCAGAAGTTCAGACCTATCATCTATGGAAAAAAAATTCCATGTACAACCTCAGTTGCCATGACTGGTCTCTTAGGAAACCACAATCTAAACCACAAAGAACAGCATAGATTAATTTTTCTATGGCTCTGCTCTAAGTTCACAATACTTTTGATGTTGTGCTATTCTAGAATGCTAAGATGTGATTTGATATCCTGCAACAGTTTTATAAGGACAAGGCAAAATTTCAAGTAATAACAAAATTTAAATTAGAATACTAAAATATACTAACAATACTTTATACAAAGTATACTAAGAATACATTAGTATTCTTATTAAATGTAAATAGTATTTAAGACTCTTTTGAAGAATAAAAAAGATATCAAAATACCAAAAAAAATATATATATAGTGTCCTATAAAGATGAATGACAAGAAAAGAACACAAGGCATATATTTTTAAAAACAATGTCTACCAGTCAGGGTCCAAAAGTTCCAGACTTAGGTAGGTGCCATACTCTTAACTAAGTAAAGCATTATAAAGAAAAGAGAAGACAGCCTCAAAGACTATAAAATGTAATGAAATCACTAAAGCCCAAATGATTCCAACCTAAGAGAAATAACAGAAATATGAAATAATGTGTGTATATATAATCCATTATAGATAGTCACAAGCACTTAGTTGTAAATGATTACAGGGATATAGCTTAGTGAGATTCATCTGGGAATATTTATTAACCTTTGAAACAAATACGTTTTAAGACACACAAAGCAAGGAAACATTCCAGAGAAACTGCAAGTTATCATGGGAAGAATAAGGGCTTTGGAATCTGTCCTGTAAATGCTCCTTCTCCCGAAAGGGAAACTGAGACTTAGCCGTCTGGGCAGACCTACAACACCCTCCACCCCCAGCTCAGCTGGTGGGTAAAGTTATGGGAATCTGACCCAAGAGCAGCCAATCCAGAGAAAGGCCAGTGACCTGTGACATTGATCGGATAGAAAAAATGAACAGAGCCAATCAGATTCTCACCCTTGGGAATCTGATTCAGAAAACTCCAAGAGCTGAACTAGTTAGGAAAGGGGCAGAAACTGCAACAGTGCCAGGGGGTAGAGTTGAGGCCATGAAAAGCCAAAACCATATGCAAGCCAAGGTTATGAAGAAGCAGAAACTATGAGTAAACAGGAAGCTGCCTGGCAGCAAGCAGAGAGTAAAGCAGATGCCAGGAGCGGGTGAGCACTTGGCCGTGAGATGGTGAAGGGAGCAGCAGTCCCCAGAGCTGCTTTGGCTTCCAACAGCCCCTCCATGTGTATACTTAACCCCACACCCTCCTTCTTCAGATGGCTTAAGTGACTCTGGATTTCGCAATCCAAGGAACAAAATTTAAATAGCCGAATAGATCTGGCTCCACATTTCAGCTTCTCACTTACTAGGCACATGGCTTGGGGCAAGTGAATTAACCTCTCCCAGTCCCAGACTCCTCACAGATTGTCTTAAGTATACATACGGTATAACAACAAAAGCGCCAAACTCAATAAATGCAAACTGTTACTACTGTTTTTCCAGGTTTTATAGCGATGGTTTGTAGATTTAAGTGGGGGTACCGTATATATAACTGATACCTAGGACGTCTGGCTGACCATCAAAGAGCGGGAGCAAGGGTATAGATGGAATTGACAACAAGTGAAAGGGGATTTCTGAGTCTGTGTACACCACAGACTTAACTTTCAGAGGTTAAAAAAAAAAAAAAAGTGTGGCAAAAGGTCTGTTTCAATAGCCTAGGTGCCTTGGAGTTTTTCTCCCGCATTTGTTTTTGTCCCATTTCCTTTAAGGAAGTTCTGTGTTGGACCGGGACCATTTCGGTATGAATGGGAAGACCGTGGGCAGCATGAGAGAATACACTTCTGTAAGGCAGGAGGAGTCTGCGAAGGAGGCTAATAAGGACTGAGCCAGTGGGTACAGGCAGAAGCCTGCAATCTCGGTGGAGGAGAGGAGACCCCTGACCTCTAAGCATTTGTAGACCTGGAATTTGAGCACCTGAACTTAGGAGACACTTGTCCCAAGAAACAATCTGAAAATGTGACTCTCATTTATAAATCATTGACAACAACCCTGTGAAGTGGGAAGGGAGAAAAGGCTCCATTTATGGATGACAGGGAAGAAAGCAGGACTGGCTGACCTACCCATCGCTAGTTAAGTAGCAAGCAAGCGTTAACACTGAGACCCAGCTCGGGTTAAAAGACTTCACCTTGTGCTCCTTTAACTCTATAATGCTGTCTCCCCACAAAGCCTTATAAATAATGCTTCAGTTCCTAGGTGAGTACTGTAACCCCTACAGCACTCGAGTTACTATACAGTAATAACACAACGCATTAAGTGGTAAGTCCCAGCCAAGTGGTCTGGATAAGTACATGCTATGGGAGTCTACCAGAGAGAAAGATAATACGGGATATATGACATGGGTGTGCGAAGCTCTGATGAACACATGTTTTGTTTGAGAGACATTTAGAAAGAAGCATTATGCAGATGACCAGAAAGATAGACTTTAAGATAGAGGGCTTGGATGAGACAGCTAGTGGATTTGGGGCGATAGCTGCTGAAATCATGGCTAATTGATGAACTCCCAGAAGGGAACAGATGACAAAAAGTCAACAGGCTAGGAAAACCCCTCATTCCAACACACACATTACTGAGCCACGCCGAAGAGAGGAGCCTTCGAATGAAATTACTACAAAGAAAGTACAGTGAGGAAGCTCAGCTTTGAAAGAAGAAAAAAAAAAATGGGGGCAAAGATGTCCAAGGAGGTAAGAATAGAACATCTCTTATCAACAAAAGAACAAATCTATAGCAGGTTTCTAGCCCTCTATCACTGCTAAAGCACTTCAGGAGTCTTATTTTATTTGGATCACATTAAAAACAGAAAGGACTTGAGGAAAAACTCCTCCAACAGTATTTCAAATTACAATCTTTAATGAATAAAATATAATCACATGGTATTGGTTAGT